TTCCTGAGGAAAGTGACATATTTATGGGACCTGTCAATAATTTTTCCCAGGTTGGACTAAATCTCCAGAGAGTGAAGTTGTTAGTGAGGTCCTCAGTTTTTTCATACTTTTGAGCCTGAATATAATTCATTGTTGCTATTTCTTACAATAATTGAAATATGCTGATAGCTGTACTCAACTGTTCTATTATGGAGGAGATTGGGAGAATATAATCCTGATGGGCACAGCTAAAAATTATTTTAGAGTGATTTGTTGATTCCCTTCATTCTACAGCTAGAGAAACTGAGGCCAGAAGGGTCATGGAACCCCCTCTCAAGGTCATGCCACTAGCTAAATTCTGGATCTCAGGTCTCCAGCCCTTTGGCCCGAGGCTGCTTTGCCTAAAGCAGCTGAAAATCTGCAGAATAGCGTCAAGATAGCCAGGTGGAAGACAGTGCCATCCATCTTAAAAATCATGCTGGCTTCTGCCGTCTGATGAAGGAAATAAAGTTAATGACGCCCATGTGAATGTGGTGCTGTCGCAGGCCGTGCACGCCAGCTATCTGAGGGGAGCTCTGCCGGCCCTCTGGAGAAGGAGAAAGGTTTTTAATGTAGCTTTAAAGGGAGCAGTGTCTTCCCTTCCTGCAAGGACAGAGACTGTGGCATCTGTTACCTCTGTCTCCCCTGCAGAGTGCCTAGCTTTGGACTGGACACATAAACACATGATAAATAAATGCCTGGTTAAGAAATGAAGGCGGTGTCAGCACTGAAGCAAATTCATCCTGAGCCTTGGTGGGTTTGGGCCTCTGTTTTGCATAAAGACCCTATGCGAGTGAGGCTGGAGGGAACTTAGAGGTGTTGGAATCAGTGGTTTGAGTTGATTGGTGAGAAAACCGAGTCCCTCAAGGGGAAGAGACTTGTCAAAGCCATGCTGCAGAATGGGAGCAGAGCAGATTCTAGAAGGGGAGCTCTCAAATCATAGCCTAACTGCTCTTTCCACTGCACAACATGGTTGCAGCCTCTTTCATAAGGTGGTCTCAAAAATAAATTCCCCAAATATCCCCTGACAGGTCATTATCAGTTTTGCAAGTATGCAGAAATTACATGCCGATTCATAACTCCATTTATCAGCTGAAGGTTCTTGCCTAAGCTGTCCCACGGGGAAAAAAAGACATGATGTTTTCTCTTTCTCAAGGTTTCCAAGCCCCCCAAAGAGGGTAGACTGACATTTGATTGGCCCTACTGTAAAATTGCCAAAGGGGCTTCGTTCCTTAGGAAAAAGCCCTTGACCCATTTCAGAAGCTCCTAGACAGTTTCCGCAGTTCCCGAAATGCAGTGAGTAAGATTTGAGGAGAACACAGCGATGTTACCGGGAGGAAAAGATCCAGGTGGTCATCTGCCCCCCTTGGCAAGCTTGGGGACTGGGCAGCCAGAGGGGCCACTTCCATGGAAAGCTCATTTATCTTTCAACCGGGTGGTTTTTCAGGACAGAGACATGAAATGATCTATTTTGCCATGTTCTTTTTGACCCTAGAGTGTGTACAAACATCTTCCCTTCAAGGTTTTGGTGACCTTTCTTGGCAAGTGAGCACCACGTTCAGTACAAAACCCTGTGCAAAGAAACATCTATGGGGATGACACATAAAGAAAAGCTGTCATCTTTTGGGAAAATCTCTGCCTTTATTCCTTTTTTCAAGCACAAGCTAGGTCTCTTTCGGCTTCACTGGAAGGCTTTGTGTGTTTCATTAGGACAGTTTCTCAAGGAAACTAGACTTTCCTCCTCATTATAATTTGTACATCAGAGCAGCAGATTAAATAGTTGGTTTTTCTATACATGTGGTTCTCAACTACAGGCCATTTTGCACCCCCATCCCCCAGATTTTTGGCAGTGTCCGAAGAGATTTTTGATGGTCATGACCGAGGGAGGGGTGCTACTGGTGCCAAGGACACTGCTAAACATCTTACAGTGCACAAGACAGCCCTCATAACAAAGAATTATCCAGTTCAAAATAGTGCTGAGACTGAGAAGCATGGTTATTTTCCATGGGTCTATTTGAGTTACAGAGAAGGCGAGAATGATTTGGGGTTTCCCTGGTCCCTTCCCAAGCCATAGGCCACTGTAAGAGCTCTGGGAATCAAAGCACGTTCCCTTTGGCTTGAAAAGAATGTGTTTCTACCATAAAAACATACCTTCCACTATTATTTTTAATCAGTCTGGACATAAAGCTCCATCTCCAATTGAAAATAAAGAGGCAAATTTGGGTTATTGAGTCCTAGAATATCACTCATAGAATTTTAAATCCACAGGCTTTTAAAATATCAGAGCAGGAATTTCAGCCAAATCACTTTATTTTACTTATGTGGACACAGTTGATGAGCACTGCAATGCTGTTTGTCTCCCGATACCCTAGTCTCTCTCCCCGTCAGCTCCTTCCAAGGCCTCGATCGTTCCCCGTGTTGCCACTGTATGGGATTTCCTCCTCACACCCTCTGTTGTTTCGTTTGTTTTGCTGTCATTATTGCCATTTTGCTGGTTACTACATGCTGATGCAGCAGCACTTCTGTTTACAGAGCCTTTGCTTTTCTAGCCCCCAGATTTCCCCAACAAGGTGAGCAGCTGGTATCGTCTAGTCTAAGGAGTACCTGGGTGCCTGAGATGATTGGTTTGGCTCATTCCAACATGGTGCCTGTCCCTTGGGTGAAAAGGGATTATTCACATGGAACCTCCTGGGAAGCTGCCAGTCCCCATTTACCCCCGCATATATTCTATTGAGCCCCCCAGATATTAATGCTTCTATTTTCACCTAAAATTTAGAAAATGAGAGAGTTAGAAATGAAAAAAACCACTAGCTAAATTAGAAAAAGAAAATACTTTCCTCGAAACTTTTCTTTCTTTGCCTCTCTGAAAAAATTTGAGTTATTTCCCGAGTTCAATCCTGTTTTTTCAGGACATTTCTGAAACAACATTTACTCCTCAAATAATGTGGCTATTCCTACATTATGAAAGTGCAATGGTACCAATCCCTTTTCTGCCCTCCATAGTCATGATTCTTCTTTCCTTATAAACACATGGAATTATATCCCAGACCCATTGTAGCGCATGTATATGCCTTGACACACATAGGGGAAGGAGATGTAGCGATGCTTCCTGCTAGGTCACCACCAGTTTACTTAAAGTATTAACGCGGTGGATTTATAACCTTATCAAAATGATTACAATGCAAACCTTTTAGACTGTGTCTCCTTTTTGTCAAAGACAATGTCTGGGAGAAGAAAATCAAGCATTATGTACTTTTCATCAAGGAAAAAGGAGTTGGGAGGAGTGATGTGCTTGGTCTTATTAATTTGCTCTTTAATCTCTCTGGTTCAGTTCTGTCTCTGCAAGCCACATAGAGAATTGATTTGCATACAAATGTTACCAAGTACCCTACCTCCACAGCATTTTACAGTTCTACTATGTATTTAGGGAAGAAAGGATTTGATATTGTTAAGAAGATACTTCCTGCCCTTTCCCCCACAAAATAGCTACATTTCACTAAATTTCATAAGGCCCTTGATTATTGTACTTTTTAAATTCTATCTGACTCCGTGACTATTTGCATTCTGAGCTGTGGGCAGGACTGTGGCCTATCAAAGAATTATTTGAACTGGGGATTAGAAGCTTTAGCACTGGATATCTCAGAGCAGAGGGGTCTTTTCTTCAGGAGAAAGACATGAAGAATGGCTCACATATAGACGCTTACAATCTAGGGAGAAGTGTCATTCATTTAATAAAGCAACCAGTGTATTAGTCAAACCAACAATCCATATGCAGAGTTCTCTATAATGGAAACAAAACAAAACTAAACAAAAACAAGAATTATTTGCTGGTTTATGATAGAGAATGATATTCGGTTGTTACTTATTTTTAAAAACAACCTAGAGTAGGTTTTTCAAATTGCTGCTAATCCAATGCCATGGTAAAACATGAGAAGCAGGCATCTAAAATGAGGAAGATTAATGATCCCTGCAGGTCATGGAAGAAGAATATATTTTTTCAATTCACATAAATGGAATTTATCATAACCATCTCTGAAGATGGCATGATTCACCCACTTACCAAAGGACTGTCTATTTCAATGCTTCCTAAAGGGGCAATTTTTCACTTTTCACTTGTACTAACGTAAGAATGCTCAACCTATAGGCAGAAAATTTTAACCTGGGAGACAACTGGTGAGGGAACTCAGCCACTGAGTCAGGGATAGACGTAAGAAACAGAACAAACAGGAATTGCCCATCAGTCCGGGATTTTCAGATAACAACGTAGAGTTTGGGAAGGTGATTGGGGGAGAGGAGAGAGCCAAAGTTTCAAAAGGGAAATGTTTTCCGAAATCTGTTTCTAAATAGATCCACCTTGCACCCAAGTTCAGAGCTTTACAACCCGAGGTCATAACACTATCGTTTCCAAGCACTAAGCCTTAGCAACACCCCAACACCCAGCGAAAAAAAAAACGAAAAACAAAAAAACAAAAAACAAAAAAAACCCAACAACAACAACAAAAAGGGAGAGAAGATAAAATGTTCTGTGTCCAGCGAGTTCGAGTGCAACCTTCCCCGTCACCGCTAGTTGTCACTTGGCTCCCAGACGGAGAGCTGAGCTTTTCGGCACTGCGGTTAGAGAGAATGCAGTCCTAATTAAACTGAGTAACTCCTAAAGCTTCCTCTTAAAGTCCTCAGCTGAGTGAGAGCCAATATGCAGGGGCGCTGGGGCCCAGTGATGGGGTGGGGGTGTAGCAGGCGGAAGGACAAACAAATCACAAGAAACAGGCAAACAGCTGCCAGAGCAACCACTGTCTCAGACCTCCACGCACAAGCCAGACACCCTGCGGGCGGGGTTGGTGGGGGGAGCGGGGGATGGAAGGACCCGATTGCAGCGGTATACAGCACCCCCTCCCCCCCAAATGAGGGGATCACAGAGTCAGTCTCCGTGGTCCTTTTCCCCATTTTCATCAGAGTGATGTGGTTAGTAGAAAATTGCATACCTGAAGAATACAATGGTCTCCCAAAGGTAGAGTCGAAGAGTATTGAAGCTGTACATTTTTCAGGTCCTTGTGCTTTGTAGTCCACGAGTTATGGGGGCAAAAAATGTTTAAAATTGGCACTTACAAACCAGCGAGCGCTATGGAAAAGATAATCCAGATGCTGAGAGGAGGTGGGAAACGGGCGCGGAGGGAAAGCCCCACGGGAAACTGGAGCGATGGGGCTGGAGGTACGACGGACAGCAGCCGCCGCCGCCGCCGCGGCGAAGCGTTTCAGCACCGCGGAGAGCGCCCAGCCCTGCTTTTCAAGAGCGCGAAGAGTATTGCTGTTTGTTAAAACTCCAACGTGTCTGTTGGCTTCCTGCGGCGCTGGGGAGGCACGTTTCGGGGTGGGTATGTTTTCTTTTTTACCCCTGTTTTTCTTTTTAAACGGCCAGCTCCATGCAAGGAAAAAAATCTTCCGTGGAGATCAGAGCACTGGCTTCAGACCGATAGAATGGGCGAGCATCTTGGATAGAGAGAGCAGGGCTTAACACCCCTGGGCTGGCCTGAGGGGTTAGGGGCGAGGGGAAGCAATCGACGGTGTTGCCTTCAATTAAATCCCGGAGAATGTGCCAGGCTGGTGTATCGCGACCGAGTCCCAGAATCTCATTCCCCTGCTTGCGTGCCGGTCTGCTGTCGCCTTGCGATTCCTGTTCTCTGGTCCCCGCCGAATAAGTTATGATCGCTGCAGGAAAGGTGTCCCATTGCTTGGGAATGCAGACGTGAGAGGGCTCAAGGCAAGTTTCAGGAGCTGCCAGGGTCCATGGCGACCCCGCGGGGCTCAGGAGCCCAAAGCTTCAGATGCATCTCGGTTTTCTGAGCTCTCCCATCTTCTTTTGGCCAGGACCCCTTCAGATCTTCAGACTTTCTTACTGCATTAATTTAACAAACGGGCGGTGTGGGGGATAGAAAA